TCCTACACGCACCCCTATTGGAGATTGAAGCCACAACCTGGGCATGCGCCCTGAACGGGAATTGGACCTGCGACTGTTTGGTATACAGGGCGATGCTCAACCGACTGAGCCACACCGGCCAGGGCATGACTGTATATTTTTACTACATATGTATGTATACCTAAATTATGTATAGTAATATAATGCATGTTTTAAATTTAATACAAATGGTATCATCTGGTATATATACTCTGCAACTTGCTTTATTTTGCACTGAATATTATATGTGAGATTTATCCCAGGTGATACATATATTTATATATACCATTGTGGAATATATTTTACTTATTCTTTATAAAAATAAGACACAATTAATTATCTAAGGCATACTATCTAGATTCAGCCATAGGAGACTAAATTGAAGGAAAATGAATATTTTTCTTTTTTTTGTGGTATGTGCCAATAGTGGGAACCGAACCCGGGACTCTCTGGTCCACAGGTCGACGCTCAACCACTGAGCCAAACTGGCCAGGGCCAAAATGAACATTTTAAAGATGATCTTAAGGAAACAAAATGTAAATAAACCCATAAAAAGGAATGAGTAAATTTGATAAATTGGCCATTAAGAAAATTGATTTAGAACCCAAAATCTTAATGAGAGGAAAAACAAGCTGTGGTAGCAAAAGTAATTCCATCGACTAATGCCCCCCTGAGTTAGTCTTCTCTGGCAACCATAACAGAATACCACAGGCTGCATGGTTTAAACAACAGAATTTATTTCCTCCCAATTCTGGATGCTGGAAGTACAAGATCAAAGCCCCATCAGTGCTGGTGTGTGATAAGGTCTCTCTCCCTGTCTTACCAATGCTGTCTACTCTGTGTTCTTACCTGGCCTCTTCTCTGTGTGCATGGAGAGAGAAAGAGAGAGATCTCTGTATCTCTTCCTCTTTTTATAAGGACACCAGTCATGTCAGATTAGGGTCTCTCCCTTACAACCTCATTTAACCTTCATTACCTCACTAAGGGTCCTATCTCCAAACATAGTCAGATCAGAGGTTAGGGCTTCAATCTATTAATTTGAGGGAGACACGTTTACTCCATAGCACTCCCAAAGCATATGTACATACCACTTAGCTATTGCCACAACAATGTTACACACAAACAACCTCAAATCTCAAAAACAAATATTTATTTTTCTTGCTCTTGTGTGTATGATAGGGATGAGGATGATCTCAGCAGGTGTTGGCTGCCTGTGTATCCCTAAGTCTCATTTTGGAGTCCAGGCTAATATATATACCTGAGGCATGTTCTTTTCATGGTGATGGCAGAATCACCAAAAGTTTTGTCTCTCAGTATTGTCCTTTAAATGACTTAGGTTCTCCTTCATCTGTTCTTAGGGTTCTGAGGTAGTGCACCCTATTTTCATTTTGCAGGTTCAAACTAATCACACTCCCTCACTCTTTGAGTCAAGAACTATCCAGAGTTCTGGTGGGAATTTAGTACAGTGTGAGCTCTATTATTGGAGAAGATGCCTTGGGCCCCGACTAAACTGGTCTTTCTGCTTTCTCCCCTCCTGATTTGAACTTTCCTTCCTAGTCACAGATACCTCTCCTGGAAAGCACCCTAAGAGTCTGCTGCATTTATGCATGGGAAGAAGAAAAGCTAGTCAAACTAACCCAGGGGAGGAGAAAGGGAGGGTGGGAAGAGTGATCCAAGTGCAGAAATAGTGCTCATGGAGGCCTTGAGGCAGGAAACAGTCAATAATAACTGGCAGCCATCGCAGAGGTCTCGAGGCATTTGAGGGCTTCACTGACCAGGTGATGTAGTTGCTGAAGATGAAAGCCCTTGGGCAGCTTAACCTGAAGAAAATCAGACCAAGAGGGAACCTGAGAGTCGACCATACACATAAAAGAGAAAAGGACTGAACTCCACTTACTCAGTGAATATTTATTGAGTGGTAATTGGTGCCAGACATACTGCTCTGTGTGTAGGGGATTCAGCAATGAACAAAATAGCCATATTCCTGTCCATGTGGACCTTACATTGTTTACAGGATGGGGTACAAATAATAAGCTAAATAATTAAAAACATATACTATGATAGACGGTAATAAGTGGTAAAGAGAAAAAATAAAGCAAAAAGAAGATTAGGGTATGTTGGCAGGATGGGGTACCATTTCTTTTTTTTTTCAGATAGAGTGGGGGTGGGGGAGAGAGAGAGAGAAACATCGATGTGAAAGGGACACATCGAGTGGCCGCCACCCTCACCACCCAACCAGGGCCGGGGACAAACTGCAACCGAGGTACGTGCCCTCAGCAGGAACCGAACCCAGGTCTCTTTGGACCGCAGGCCGATGCTCCAACTGCTGAGCCAAACTGGCCAGGGCGGGGTACCATTTCATAAAGGAGGGCCAGGGTATGTGACATTTGAGTAAAGATCTGGAGGAGACGGGGCCAAGGGTAGGAGCATCCTGCACAGAGGTACAGAACCAGCAAGTGCAAACACTTGAGGGTGTTGGTGCTGGGATGGGGGATGGGGAATAGTAAGAAGGCCAGTGTAGGGGGGAGAATTAGGCGATGAGGCCAGGCAGGTAATGGGGCGGGTGGTGAGAGGAGAGGAAGAAGGACAGATCAGCTTGGACCTTGTGGCCATTGCAGCGCTCCAGGTATTTGCTCTGTGAGGTGGGGAGTCAATGCAGTACTTTGTGCATAAAGGAGACATGGTCTGATCTGCCTTTAGGCAAAGGTTGGGCTACAGTGTGGACTAGAGACCAAATGAGAGCAAAGGTCATCATTCTATGTGCACCTGAGGAAATAACGAGTCAAAGGATGGAAGGGCTGATTTCTCTACCTAAAGGACCCCAGTTAATTGACTGCCCACCAGTGAAACTGGCTGGGAGTTACACTCAGCAGCTTGTCCCCAGCAGTCCCAGCAGATGCCAGGGATGTTGATGCTGGGAACTTTCTACCTTGAATAAGGCAGTTTACCCTCTATCATCCCAGATTTCTTCCAATACGGAGTGTCTGATTCCACAGGATGCATCACCTCAATCTTCCCCAGTGTATTTATTTATTTATTAAAGATTTTTAAATTGACATTTAATGGGCGAGAAAGGGAAAGGGAGAGAGAGAGAAATAACTTCATCAGTGTGAGAGCAGAACATCAGTGGCTTGCCTCCTGCAGGACCCCCACCTGGGATCGACCCTGCAACCCTGGGCATGTGTCCTGACCAGGAATAACCAGCAACCTTTTGGTACATGGGGTGACACCCAGCCAACTGAGCCACACTGACCAGGGCTTCCCCGGTTTAGAGTACAGCTCCTTGATTGTAAGTGTTTTGTCTGTTGTGTTTATTGCTCTATTGTTTGTGCCTTGAATAGTGTCAAGAATATAGTGGGTACTCAATTAGTATTATTTATTTATTTTTAAAATATTTTTTCTTTATTGATTTTAGAGAGAGAGGAAGGGAGAGGGAGAGATAGGGACATTGATGAGAGAGGACATCGATTGACTGCCTTCTGCATGCCCCCCACTGGGGATCGGGCCCATAACCAGAGCATGTGCCCTGACCGGGAATCGAACCGGTGACCTCTTGGTGTGTGGGTTGACACTCAGCCACTGGCCAGGGTCAATTAGTATTTTTTAAATGTATGAGTGTCTCAGTTGAAGTTACTGTAGGGGTTTAAGTAATGTACTTTTCTTCTCTGCATGTGAGAGAATAAAAAGTTGGGTTGGATGACCTCTGATGACTTTTCTAGGTCTGCTGTTTTGTGATCCCATTTCCAACACAAAGGCATTGTTTCTAAAAGTCTTTGCAGGCTATGGGGTGTTTGTGGGGGTTGCTTATGGGGAGGAAAGGCAGGGATGGGTAAGGGCCTGATTTAAGGAGAAGTGAACAGATGTCCTTTGGAGCTGGGGACCAGGGCACTCTTTGAAAATAAATGTCAATTGTCTCTTGAGATGCACTGGGTTCAAATTCCAACAAGGGCTATGTTATTAAACACTGAGGTACAGGACACTGAGGACCCATCCCAAGCATGTTACCTTTGTCTCCTGGTTAACAAAGTGTTCACAGTCCCTGACACTCTCTGGGGGAATACAGAGGGGCTCCTTTAAAGTGCATAGAATTGCTTTTTTTTTTTTTTTTTTCTTTGATGAAGTTCCCAAATGATAAGATTTCTTTAAAGAAAGAGTTCCACTGAGGCACAGAATTACCATGTTTCCCCAGACACCCAGGTCCCAGCAATCTCATGTCCCCTTGAGGTTTGGCAGAATTGCCAACATCAACATGTGTGCTAATTGGGCCCCAGATTTGCTACCAGATAAGCCAATAAAATATACTATAATACTGATTGAATATAGAATAAAAATATAAGAAATATACACACTAGGTAATTGCAGTAGTTTTATTATGCAGTTAAATTTAGTCAATTTTAAAGAAGACAGAGTCTTTTCAATGTTAGGAAGCATGCAAATTTGTGTTTTTCATGCATTATTCCAATTGCTTTTAGGATAAATTTAAAGAAGTAGGTAGGATTCTGCTTCCGTCATCTCTGTCATCTAGGAGAAAAAAAAAACAGCAAGAATTTAGTTACTTATTAATTGTGAGGCTATTAACATCTATTATCTCATTTACTCTTTATATTAATTCTGGCGGGTAGATACTATTGTTGCTCTTGATTTACAGATGGGGAAACTGAGGTTCAAAGACAGTGTCTGGTTCATGGTCATATCAATAGTAGAGGGCAAACAGTTCTTGACCCCAGGTGTATGCTCTGAATTCAGATGCACACAACATTGTAGTGTATCATCCAAAAGTATTGTGTCATTACACAATACATAAATAAAAGCATTGTGACTTTCTCTAGACTCTGGAGTGAGTACCTTCTCCCATGGATTTTTTACCCATTTGGGCTGAGGGAGGGTTAGAGTGTGGACTGCACCCCTGCAATACCCCATCCTCTACCCTCCCATCCAACAGTCCAAGGGCAGTCACCTCCTACCTGAAGTAATTTAGCTGCTTACTCCCACAGGTCCCGGCGGCGACGGCCGAAGGCTTTGGAGCCCACATAGGTTGGCACAAAGTTGTTCTTTATCATGCCCCCAGATCTGCTCAGCAAGCCAGCCAGCTTATTGGTCACACAGGTGGCAGTGTTGCAGGCTCTCTTCTGGGCAGTGATACTAATATACAGGATGGAGAAAAAGAGAAGACCGGCCATATTTGAGAGGTTGAGGGGGTGGGGTAGTAGGGCCCACCCCATGGGACCATCATGATAAAATTACTGCTTTGAAAGGTACCAGTTAACCTGAGGTTTTTCACCTAAACAGCAGAAAATCATAGGCCATTATGGAAAATGTCATCATCACTTCCCATAGACATCCCCAGTGCTGCCAGAAAATCCAAAGGTGGCTCTGGGTGACAGGACATGGGACACAAAGCTGCAACAGACAATCTTTCCTGTATGAATAAACCAAAAATCGAGCAAGGCTTATGAGACTAGAGAGAATTATGGCACCACATCCAATGCCGTTCTTGTGGACTATCTAGAAACTACATCCCGTTTATGGGCACCAAGTGCTACTTCATAGGAAAAGGAAAATTACCCTGTCTTACCTGGAGGAGGAAGAGAGTTTGCATCATCATCCCAGAGGTGCTTACCTGCTCCTTAGCACACCTGTTCTTGCTACTTGAATTTGCTCACAGGGACCACCAGCTGGTCACGTGTCCAGCTGTATTCTCTCCTACTTCTAGGGACATGCCTTCCTGGGCATGACTGGAGGAAGGGCATGCCCTGTGCTGGGCATCTGCATAACTTACCCGATATCCTCGGTCTCCTGCTCCTGCTCCTGTTCCACGTCATTGATCTTCTTCTGCATGTAGTCTTTCACCATGGCAGCCAGAATGAGGCACAATTCCTCCTCGTCCAGCGAAGCGGGATCCATGCGGCTCTCCAAGACAGACCTGGGGAGGGGAAGCAAACCCAATATGGGCTCAGGGTCCCTGCCTACCCCAATTTTAGGATGAGCAGCCAGTTTTCCTGGGGATGTGACCAACCCAATAACCAGTGGATAGAACATGAGACCAGAGTCTTTCCAAAAATTCTTCTTGGCCAGGGATCAGTCTGTAGTGTGACCACAAATTGGTTTGTTGGAACTGGATTATATAGACCTGTGAAAGCTTATGGTTAGATTTTCAGGAATTTTATGAGCCTTGTGTTAAATACAATCATCATTAAAAATTGAATAATAAAACTTACGATTAGTTTGAATCAGAAAAAAATGACTCACTTTAATAAATATAATTTGCATGAGAGTGAGAAGCTAGATTAATAAAGCACACGCTAAATTTAATAACAACAAAGTTATTGGCAAAGTAGTTAGCAGACTGGGGTGCAATTTATCAAATTGTGGTTGAATTAGATCAATAGGTTTCCTAAAGATACAAATATTTGGTAAAAAGCAAGGAAAGCATTCTGTGAGGCTCAAAGAGGTATATACATTTACGATAAAGAGCATTGTATGTCTTATTTCTATTATATAATAAAAACGTATATGCAGGTTTACATAAAGCTCCCCCCTCCCCCCAGAGCAGTTGTTAAACATTCAGCACATCGCAGTTCAGACCGCAGAACTGTTCGATCCCAGGGGCAGTGGGAGGGGAGTGTGCTCCGGACAGGGCTCTCTTACCTGAATGGTGCTGCCTGGAGGACTCCTGCCTGGTACAGGACCAAGATGCCAAGAGCCAGGAAGGGGGAGTACTTCCAGAAGCCCATGATGGAACTCTGCAAGAAAAAAATGGTATCACCCCCACAGTGTGAGACTCACCAAGTCTTTGTCGTGGACAGTCTTAGAGCACCTGCGTTTTCCTATAATGCTACTCAGAGCTGTAATCCCTGTGTGGGGCTTTTGCTCACACCTAGCGGTGCGAGTAGGGAAAAGAAGGTAGAGAGGGTGTATCTCTATGGTTGGAATCTCTGGGAAGCTGAAGAACCAAATTCAGCTCCGAGTTCTAGCAGAGACCCCTGTAAGAACCAAACTTAGCAGAATCTTTCATTGGAACCCAGGACTTAAACGGGGGAAAAAGCACCCAGACTCACGACTGGGGCTTGCAGTTTAGGGCTGAAACTCCCGGTCTTGGCGCCTGTTTGCCACCTACTTGCAACTAGCCCAGGTTCCGAACCTGTTTCCTGGGATCCGCTAGGCGGGAAACGGGATCCGTGAGCGCACAGTCTGCAGAAAGCTACTCACGCGTCCTATTCTGTGCACAGTGCCTGGGGTACTCCAGCGTCAGAGAGCGGTCTAAGCACGCGTGCAACAAAAGACAGTGAGACTGGAGCCCAGCTCTGCGCGGGAAGAGTGGAGCAGGGAGTCCCCGGACTGAGACTGTTCAGCGTTACCTGGGGTAGGAGTCTCCATGAATCACAGACGAACAAAAATTGTGCGATGAAGAGACCCAGGCAGGGTGGACAGAGACTTTGAGACTGGCAGGGAGCCCAACCAAGAGGTAGAATAATGGAGAGAGAGGAAAGGGAGGAGAAGGAGAGAGAAATAGAATAACACAGCTAAGCAGGAGTTTCGAGCTCACCTGGTAGCAGGTAGCAGTGGCTGTCGCAGAGTCCGCGGCAGCGGTAGCGGGTTTAGTGTCAGGCGACGACAGTGTGGAAGTGGCAGTGACACTCCAACTGAGAAGTCGCTGTGATTCCTCCCAGCACCAGCAGCTCCTCTTATTCCCGCTGCTCGGGGTCTGGGGTAGGGATGGGAGGGGGTCCAGGAGCTCCGGGCAACCAATGAGAAGAAGGATCCGGTGCCTCAGACGGATTGTGTCACCCACTTGCGTCCAGAACCTGTAGCATCCATCAGATCATCCCACTTGTATTTGCATTGAGGTCACTGATGGAAAGGGTGGGGGGAGTGGAGGGGATTAAGAACACCCACGAAGTGAGCAGAATTTGGGGGACAGTTTGACGTGATAGTAAATTTCACCTGCTCAGTTTCATCCGGTTTTGAACTTGCATGCCGCTCTGTCCCCGCTGTGCGGTCTTGTAGGGCAGGGTCCAGGATCGTAGGGACTCCTGGCTCCCCCAAGTCAGACTCAGGATCCCCATCCAAGTGAGGGTGAGAGGATTAATGGGTAGGAGCATCAATTCTGGGCCCAAGTAGGGCACCTGCTTCAGGATGCTGGAATCACCCGCAGAAGACTAGTGCTCGTTGTGGGGAAGGAGAGAGGGAGGTGCAAGAACTTTGTCAGACTGAACTCAATCCCGCTGCGCCAATTCCAGGCGGTAGCATTATGGCCAAGTAACTTCTCAGGCCCCCAGTGTAAAACTGAGCCTTGACAAGGGTTTGAACTGGGCAGGTCCAATTATACTTTTTTTCCCCAATTGACCCGGCGAAGTACGGTTGTCCTGTGCGTTACCACTGACCGCGGTTCAATTGACCGCGCAGTTCTTGGAGCCGCTCAGTTGAAACCCATGTTGTTCACAAGGGTCAACCCTGCAGTTGGGAACCAGAGTATCCGTAGACCAACGATAGTTATACAGGGATTTTGGACTATGCCGTAGGTCGGCGCCCAGAACCGCCATGTTCAGTGGTCAACCGTACTCATCTTTGGAATGGGAACCGCATTCCCGTCTTGAAGGAATGATTTATTAGTAGCCATGTGACTTTCCCTTTGCTAGGTCGGAACATGGAAAAGAGTCCTTGGTCCACATGGCGGATTCCATAAGATCGCGGTACCGTACAAAAGGATACCCCACCTTGTACCCTGACCCGCGCTGGGTGGTCCATCACGTGGGTAGAAAGAGCCAATGACCCGCCCGGCCACAGCGGGAAGGGGCTCGGCAAAGATGCTCCCCCAGCCTTCAAGCAGCCCTAGTCCTCTCCCTTTCTAGCCTCCATCCATCTCCTATCGCTCATCTGCCCACTGGAGCCCTATGCCCAGCTGCCCTCGTTACCGACAGCTGTTTGCCAAGATGTGCCAGTGGCGCGCGATTCTGGACTTGCACCAGCATCGGCCGCACCGCCGCTCTCCACTAGAGAGCAGGGCAGGCTTGACGGAGCTGAAAGTCCCTGCAGACACGAACACTCGCAGTCACGTCAGTCGTACTCCACACATGCAAACTCATGCCTGTCTCCAAACACATGCCCACCCCTCAAAGCACTGGCACTCGCAAAAACGACTCTTGCGCGCAAGGGTATCTGCCCGGGTTCCGGCAGAATCACGCCCGCAGCCTGCCTCGGGGTCTCTTTTACGGTCTTATCTACACACCTGTATATTGGTGACCTGTTCGCATCATACCTGTCCTCACTCTCAAGAATAAGTGTGCCCCGTAACACCCACCAATGCAGCATCTCGGCCCTCTCACACCCTGCACAACTCGTTTCAGGACCTCAGTCCCTGAGCTTTCTGCTCCAAGCGTGTCTGGAAGGTTCCAGGTCCTGAGCTGCTTTTCTCCCTCCGTCAGAGGGTAAAGTACGGAGAAAGAAACTTCTCATTTTCCCCAGGATCAAGTGGTCTGTGTGCGCAGCGCTCAGCGAACAATCCGCGGCAGCCGGTACAGATTACCGCAGTTCGGCGAGCACAGTAAATGTATGGAGGCTGTGTGGGGCGGGCATGGACCCCGGCTAAGTGGTTCTTCCGTGCAGAGAAAAACTAGCTGTGAGTGACTCGACGTACTGGTCCGCATCCCATTCCTCACTCTCCAGTACCCTCAGCATTTCTTAGGGCGCACACATCGCTTCTCTTGCCAGGTTGGTGGCCTCCTTGTTTGAGAACGCCTAACTTTCAAGATGGTCTCATTCAACCTACCTCCTTCTTAACTCATGGAGCGCCATTGCCTTGAGGAAATAAAAGGTCAGGGCTTGGGAATTGGGTGTGTGAAACTGGCTCTCTGCAGGGTAGACTGGCAGAGCAGCAGGGGAACCAGAAATGGAAGAACTGCTCGGTAGGATACAGGTGTGCGTCAGAGAAACAGTAGGGAAAAGCCAGTGAAGCAAGGGACAGGGCTCAGAATGTCCTGGGCTGACTTGTCCTGGAGCCTAGAAGCAGAGAGCTCATGCTGAGATGCAGCCTTTGGCTTTGGGGCTCAGCAGTTTGGTTCCTGAGCCCTAACCCAGGCTTTCCATGCAGAATTGCAGGGCCGATTGGCAAAGGCAGCATTGTGGACACCATTTTGCTAGAGATTGGGCTCTGCCACTTGAGGCTGTTGTAGGCGAGTCTTTTCTCATATTTATTTACTTTAGGGAAATTTCTTCTCTTTCAAGACCTGAGGTTTTTAACTCATGAACCTTCTGAAATCATTTGTACGTATGTGTGTTTGTAGATTGTGTTCTTCTGAGGAAAGAAGCTTAGCTTTCACTAGTGCAATAATGACAGCAAATAATTAAAACATGACTTCTGTATAGGTCAATTTCATGGCTCAGAACCCTATCCTGGTGGCCTTCACCCTTCACAGTCAACATTTATTCTGAACTCTGAAATCAGTGGTGGTTACAAACCAGGGGCTGCTGGTGTGGGGTAGGAGTCAGGGTCTGCACCCAGAAGAAGCTAGGGTAGCCTCCAGCAATTTCAAGCTTTACTTTAAAGGCCAGTCTTTCCACATAGGGAGGGACTGACATTAGCTCATTCCTCAGACACTGTTTTAATTTGTAAGAACTGCCCCATGTTGGGTGGATGGTGTGTTAAAAAAAAAAAAAAAAGTTCTTGTTTTTGGCAGTTGGCACCACATCTGGTTAACTAGTAGGCACTTAGTCAATGTTTGTTGGATGAATGGAAATTAATTCATTCTGGCACATTCACAAGCCGTTCTCCCTACTATTACAAGGGCCTAATCCCAGCATGAAGAAAATTCAGACCTAGTTGGGTGGAGCAATCTGCTTGGATTGTGAAATTGTGAACACAAATATTACAGCCCGGTTTCTTTTGTTTTCCTTAGTACATTAGAGTTGGTTTCCTGTTAGAAGCTTCCAGGAATAAAACAGGGAAATAAGGTTACCTTGAGGATTCTTCCTAAAGGCTAGCATCTTCTAGCAGGAAATAACGGTTCTCTCTGAGCCCATCCCTGATTTACTGAGCGGACTCAAGAAGGTTCAGACCTTTGCATTTGCTGATTACTTACATTGCTTTCAGCAGTCTCTGAAACTTCTCCGAACTTCAGCACTAAACAGAACCTGATCTAGTGCAAGTCTCCAAAGAAAATACTGATTTAAAACAGTCACTTGGCTATTTGACCCTTCATTTTATAATCTGATTTCATTAGTTTTAAACCTGGAAATCAGGGTCAGTTATAAACAATCTAGTTTGAAAAGAAACATTTATAACACTTTGATAAACTCTAGCTGTAATATGTATTTCCATATTTTAACTAGATTCCTGTATATATATATATAAACATATATATATTTAATTTTAAAAAGATGATTTATCTGAGTGTGCCAGAGTCCCATATCTGGTTGAAAATTTTTATGTGCGTTTCCATGCAATTAAAAGTGTTTATACCTAAAGGCTCACTTTTTTAATTCTGTACAATCTGTGATATAGACTCAACAACAACAAAGCCACATTAACAACTGCAGCACCAGTAGCAACAACAACAACAACAACATACATTCATTCTCCTCAGCCTGGGGCAAGTTTTGAGTTGTTAAATTAACTGGAGAATTTCAGCTGAAAATTGATTGTGCTGGGTTTCACGTGTAGAGTTTAGAAATCCTAATAACAAGTAAAACTAAATGGACTAGAAAAATCAACAAGTCCCTAGGATTCCCAATATTG